CACGATCGTGATCGAGGTGGACATGGATCCGGCCAAGGATATGATAGTGACGTGCGATTGCGTGGGCATTTTGAAAGAACGTAACGTCGACGTGGAGCACAGATTCCCTCAGGAAGCCGGGGTGCTTCAGGGGCGCAGCAAGAAGAAATCGACTCGTTGTCGTATGGTATTTCGCACCACGATCACCCATCCCGACGGCACAACGGAAACGTTGCAAGTTTGCTCGCAACCGATAGTTTGCAGTAAGCAGTTTGCGAATCTTCGATTCGTTACTGGCCGGGACGAGAAAAATAGAGAAATTAATGTTCGATCGATCTTTCTTGTTTCAGCCCAACCGCCGGGAATACCGGAGATCTGTAAGAAATCGCTCACGTCGTGTCCGTGTACCGGAGGATTAGAATTATTTATACTCGGGAAGAACTTTCTGAAAGATACACGGGTCGTATTTCAACTGGACAACGACAATCTGTCGAGCAGTTTGGAACCTCATTGGGAATGCGCCGTTCTACCTGACAAGGAGTTCCTGCAACAAACTCATCTGGTTTGCGTCGTGCCGGCGTACAGGCGACAAGATCTGGCACCCTCAGAAACGGTTAGCGTTAAATTGTACGCGGTATCCTCGGGAAAAACGAGCGAGCCTCACACGTTCCTTTATACCGCTGCGTCCACGCCACCCGAACCATCGGTGGGTAAAGTTGAGCCAATAACTCCACCTCTGTCCACCACGAATGGTGAGGTTGCACTAGCAACGTCTCCTGTAGCGGTGCCCCTGACTAAAGGTGTATCACCGAACAGTAAGTAAGAATTTTCTATCTTTGAACATAAGTAAAATTGCTCGTGAAGTAAGGAAGTAATAATGGAACGAAGTTATTAATATATATATATATATATATGTATTGTTAGAAAAGCGTATGGCGAGAGTTATATTGAAAATGATGATATTTCAGCTCTGATTACGCAAGCAACCGCGGGAACGGCAAATTTCTTGACAACTATACCACCGCAACAAGCAGCGTCCCAAAAAACGGAGGCGCTTAAGAACGATCCCAGCCCACCACCGGTGACAGCATCGTCTCAGGTAACATCGGTTATGATGTGGGCGGCGCAAAGTCCTAATTGCAAAAATTCACCGCCCGACGTGATGATGCCACCACCGGCTTTGGTTGCGAATCCGCTGCTAAGTCGTAGATCATCTTCGAATCTTCAATTGAGTTTGTTAGATAATTTGAAGACCGAGGTCCTGGACGAGAACAGTGAGAATAGTATGATCAGCGAGAACAGCATGCAAAGCATACCGACCCCGACCGCGAATGGTTCGACGGGTACCAGTCCATTGCAACAGCTCGTGAGCGAGAACTCGAGGGAAACACCACAGGCTAATATGATCAGATCGGTTCCTGTAGCGGCGAATGGTTCACCTGTACAGGAAGCGGTCAATCTTCTCGGCGTGGTAGATCTAATGCGAAACCAGCATCAGTTGTCGATGGTTTCGACTCACCAGAACGCGTTCGGAGGTATGCACGACTCGTCTCAAGTCAAAGTTCTAAGTCCTCATCATATCAACAAAGAAACTAACTCAATATTGCCGGTAGAAGGCACTCCTAACGGAAGTCTTCAGGGTGGCGGTGTTGTTGATCTTCGCATGAAGCATCATCAGACGGAGTTCGATACACTGTCAAATTTTACCGCCACGCCGAACGGACAACTGCCTGCGCAGAGTGGACATAGCGTAGAGAAATACCTTAATCATATCGAGTCTAACGTCAAAGAGGCTGAGAATCAAGAAAACGGATTTGTAGGTACTATACAGCAACGAGCTTCCATTATTACCACAGGACGACAACCTCAACAAGGACAAGCTTCCAATATTTTAGCTTCTCCCTCTCCAGGCGTCAAATTAGATACTCTCGTTAATTCTGGCGCTGAATCTCATCAGTTGGTGTCGCCCCTGCGTACCGTGAATCCTAATAATAATACCATAATGAGTCATGTTTCCGCAGTTACTGATCACGAAACGATCTCGAGTCCCCAACAAAGTAGAACTAGCCCACCCATTCCGGTCAAGACGATGCTTCTCGAAGCGTTGATGCCGCCACAGGCCGTGCCATCTTTACCAGGAAATGGCGCAACGTCCGTTTCATCGCCCGCATCTGTGGTTCCAGAGCAGGCTAATGGCGACAGTTTGCTCACCACTATCAACGCCGCTTTATTGCCGCCGATCCAGGAATCAACTGTGACTGCGACCGGTACGTCGAATTCTAACGTTAGTGTACCATCTCATAATCCGTTACAAGTTACGAACGAGACTATGTCGACAGCGGCGGAGCATATTCCGCAGATTCCGGCTCTTATACAGCAAGATGTTGTAGCAATGCAGCAAGCGCAACAAGTGGAACAGGTTGTTGCGCATGCGCAACAACAAGTTGAACAAGTTGTCGCTCAGGCTCAGCAACAAGCGGTACAAGCGGTACAACAGGCACAACAGCAAGTCGTTCAACACGTGGTGCAGCACGCACAAGTTGTCCAACAAGCTGTGCAACAAGTGCAAGCGGTACAACAAGTTCAGGCCGTACCCGCCGTTCAACAGGCTGTACAACAAGCTACGCAGGAAGTGGTTCAGCAAGCGGTACAACAGGCAACGCAGGAAGTCGTGCAACAAGTTCAAGCGGTTCAACAAGCGGTTCAGCAAGCGCAAGCAGCTCAAGCGATGCAGCAGGCGGTACAGCAAGATATTGGTTCTATGTTAAATCAGCCGGCAGGCTTCGTTGCCGAGGCTAGTTCTGCTTTAGCGAGTGGAGCGGCTCAAGAACCATCGCAGCAAAGATTGACCAATGCTGCGGAACAAGCGATTAATAATGTAATTACTAACGCTACTCAGGATATTATTAATAATCGACCTATTACCACGACTACCGCGCATGCCATTATCGCGACAAAAAATATATTAAACAGCGTGGCTACTCAAAGTGCGCAATTAATGAACAGTGCTATGGAAGGTATTTTGCCTAAATCACCTTCCAACCAGAATAATATTGTTGAACAGGTAGCGAATAAATCACCACCGGTTGCCTTACCTGTTACACCTAACAGACAAAATGTAAACCCACCTATAACAAATACGGCAAACAGTACGAATGGTACAACGGTTAGAAAACAGGAAGATGGTATGTTGCCTCAAGAGCTTACCTCGATGTCGGAGAATGATCTGTTGAGTTATATAAATCCGAGCTGCTTTGATCCTCAAAATGGTTTTCTTATGTAGTACTGCCGTATTCTTGTCATTAAAATATATAATTGTGTATTCGATTTACTTTTTGGATACAAAGAGAGAGAGAGAGAGAGAGAGAGAGAGAGAGAGAGAGAGAGAGAGAGAGAGAGAGAGAGAGAGAGAGA